TGTCAGTACAGAAGTCATCATGATAAGGTGCAGGTGGTCTGCAAGCAAGTTCAGCAAAACAGTAACCAACTTACTTAGGGGGCACTTACCTTGAGGGTCCTGGCGTACTTGAAGACCGATCCTTATCTTGGAGATGGCGAGGCGATTCGTGGGTGAGGCTGGCGCTGGTGATGGGTTTTCAGGATGCGCTGGTGATGGGTGTTCAGGATGCGCTGGTGATGGGTGTTCAGGATGCGCTGGGTGTCAATATCGTGGAGCATGCTGCTGTCGTGTATGCACAATTGACCTAGTAGGCCCATGCGATGAGTGAATGCGCGGTGCCAGTGTGGGTAGTGAAGTCGACGTTCCCTTCTATGTGTTGATGCTCCAGGCACTGATTCACCAGTCTCTGTATGATGGATTCGCAAGTGACCGACCAGGCCGATGTGAAAGGTGGATATGCGATCGCAGTGAGAACAGATTAGGCGCGAGCCCCCAGTGCTGGTAGATGGTTCCAATGGGGGTAATAAGGATGGTGGTACGTGGTGATGCGTCGTACGGGTGAGGTTGCAGGAGGAAGGATGGTGTCGGTGGATTCATCGATTCTAGTGTTGAGGGATAGCGCGGGATAGTCGAAGTTGTCCATATTTTTAAGCTCGGCGGCGTTGACGTTGATACGTGGACCATTGTAATCAGTACCGGGCACACCATCATCCAGCCCCAGAGCTGACTTCCCATGTAGACGAAGAGCATCGGACAGCCAAATTTCTGCATGAATTCCCAAGGTCCTTCTAGATTAACCTGTCAAAAGCTCTCGTCAGATCCACGAACGTGAACTAGAGCGGGGTGCGCATCTCCTGGCACTTCGCCTGCAGCTGTCGTGCGGCGAACCTCATGTCGCTAGTGACGCGATGACGACGAAAACCACACTGGCTTTCTGGCAAGCCTCCTTTTTCCAGGTGGTTGCTGATTAGGTTTAGTAGAACACGAGCGAAGAGTTTGCCGGCGATATTGTGCAGCGTGATTCCGTGATGATTGTTCTGAGTGGGCGGTTCCCCTTTCGCTTGTAGAGGTGGACAATTTTGGCGACCTTGAATTCCTGGGGAGACGTGTCCTTGACGCCACACTTCATTGAAGAGCGTGGTTGGTTGGGATATAAGTTAGTGGCCGTCGTATTTGTAAATCACCACAGGGATGGCATCGGATCCGGGTGCTTCCCCGTTGGAGGTTTGCTGCACAAACTTGCTGGTTTCCTGAGGAGTGGGTGGGAGTTTGAGGTGAGTGTTGATTTCCACCTGAGGCAGACGGTCGATAGCAATTTTAGAGATGGTGGAGGGGTGATTGAGTAGGCTTTGGAAATTTGAACCCAATTTTTCAGAATGTATGCCTTCTCATTGCGTAGGGCAGTTCCATGGGTGCTGAGAAGGGTTGTTGTGCCCTTGACTATGGGACCATAGACAGCCTTGATCGCAGCAAAGAAGTTCTTTCACTCATTGCGGTCAGCGTAACCATGGATTTCCTCGCCGTTGCGAGCCATCCAAGCATCCTGCATTTCCCGCAGCTGCTGTTGCACAAGTTGTGACCCAGGATATGTTTTGACACATTTTCTAGCCCCTTCTCCCTTGCAAGGGTAAGCAGTGCTGTCCCCAACTATGGCTGTTTAGACATCCCGAACGGCTGCTGAACTCCACTATGGGGTCACGTTTATGGGTTTTGTGAGAGAACTATCGTATGGTTCGGTTAACCTATGTGATTGCATGTCGCCCTCGCCCT